TTCCCTACAGCACGGGCATCTGCCCACCCCAAAATTCACCTTGTCTCGTCTCACCACGCAGCGGCCAACACAAACGATTTGTGTTAGCTGTCAGTCTGCAGAACTGGTCTGCAGCTGCCCGACACCATGAGTATTTGTGCTGTTGCTCGAGCTAAACTTAAACAGTATGAACGCAGGCAATGCGTACAGCAGATGCGATTCTGAAGCCTACTGATGACGGTATTTCACTGTAGGTTATTTTAGCGGCAACGTGACGGCACCTTTTGCTTCTGTCAATGACTGTAGCTGCAGGAGGAAAAGGTTTGACCCAGAACGCTCAGTCCACTCATCTGACCTATCTCTGTGCTATCAAAAGCCACACTTACTTTTCAGAATACCAGGTGAAGTCTGTTGTGATCTTGCAGTAACACACTGTCCACCTGAGCTGTTAAAGGAATAGTTATACAGCTTAAGGCATTGACAGTAATTAATTATGCTGAATTAGGGAAAACAGAAAACAAAAATCACATGGTACTTGTGATGTGATGTAAGTGGATGACTGTGACTTACCAAGTTCACTTTAGCTGACCTTGAAGATAAATATACTTTCTATTTGGTTCACATCCACCTTCTGGGGCCAAAACTTGATAGCTGGTGAGTTTATTAGGACTTGTCTTTTGTCAGCTTTCTCCTTATGCCATCATGTAAGTACTTTTTAATACATATTTCTGTGTTTTGGATTGTTACATGAATTAAACACAGAATATACATTTATCTGTCCTCTAGTAAAGTCATTTGAATTGCAGTGTAAACTCTGTAAACGTTTAAAAATCACATAGCATTAAACTTATCCTATTTGGAAGTTTATTTTGTCACTGCTGACTTTTTAGAGAGGATACGCTTGGCATGTGAGTACAACTGACATGAGCCTTGAAGTGACTTCCTCCTCTGCTTCCCTGTTGCTGTTCAGTGTTAGGGTTCATCCAATTGCAGGAATAAAAAGACAATGGAGAAGGTTGTAGTAGTGGATTTAGGAATATAAACCAGGCACTAATATGCAGTAGTGAAGTTCTGTGTCCCTTTTAGCTCTTCCTGGAATCTCTGATTCTTTCCATCCCAGTTGTATTTTCTGGGAAACGTGGTGCTGTACAACTCTGAGAGATAATAAATTCACTTCAGCTCCTATAAACAGAAATATTGTTCGCTCTGTTACGCTGTGACAAGATATTTTTAAAAGCAAATTTATGTCTTCAGATTTCTGGAAAGGTGGCTAACATTTTTCTATCAGACGTTCAACTCATTATCTCCAGACTTTGCTTTGAGAATTGGGCAAGTCAGCAGTGTGTTGTGGGCTGTAATATTTATGAGGAGAATTGCAAATACCTGAAACGAGTGCCTTTCTCTGAGAACAGCATACTGAAATTACTGTAGTTGTTTTGTTCTAGTGTAAGCAACCCCTAAACAACATGTGGCATTAGAGAGCTGACGTAAAAATAATGCTACAGAGAAGAGCATCTGTGTGTATACAGGCAGTTAACATGCTGATGTGGGATTCAGGAGTCAGATGACATCGCTATCAGAAACTTCCCATGTGCTTTAAAACAAGTTACTTTTACTGTGTTTCTCATTTCTCCTCCCCTCTTTTAAATAGAAATATCCCTTCATAGGGATCCTGTGAAAATAAGTACACTGCAAAACTCAGTACAGTTGCAAGCAGAGCAGTTCGGTGCCTTATCGGATAATGCTTAGTGTAATCGGTCTCAAACCTACCCCCCTTTTTGGTCAAGTGGAAAAAAAAAAAAGAGAATTTGAGATAGCTCCTTCTTCAGAGATGGTGAGCAGTATATCTGCTGCTTGTACGGTAACTTCTAGCAAGCAATATATCCCCATGGAACTTCTGATTTTATATAGTCTTTGGGGGGGAGAAATGCTACATAGGGAAGAGGTTTTCTGAGCCTGTGAAGAAACATGCAAAATCTAAAAGGTTGTTGCTTATCTGCAGAAAATGCCAGTCATGGGACAAAGGTTCACGTGAAACTTGTCAGCTCTGCTATCTGCTTGAGGGTAGAAAGGCTTCTACAGATGGGTCTGGACAGGCTGGATCGATGGGCTGAGGCCAACTGTATGAGGTTTAACAAGGCCAAGTACCGGGTCCTGCACTTGGGTCACAACAACCCCATGCAACGCTCCAGGCTTGGGGAGGAGTGGCTGGAGAGCTGCCCGGTGGAAAGGGACCTGGGGGTACTGGTTGACAGTCGTCTGGACATGAGCTGGCAGTGTGCCCAGGTGGCCAAGAAGGCCAACAGCGTCCTGGCCTGTATCAGGAATAGTGTGGCCAGCAGGAGCAGGGCAGGGATGGTGCCCCTGTACTCGGCACTGGTGAGGCCGCACCTCGAATCCTCTGTTCAGAGTTGGCACCCTCACTCCCAGAAGGATGCTGAGGTGCTGGAGCGTGTCCAGAGAAGGGCAACAAAGCTGGTGAGGGGTCTGGAGCACAAGTCTTCTGAGAAGCGGCTGAGGGAACTGGGGGTGTTCAGTCTGGAGAAGAGGAGGCTGAGGGGAGCCCTCATCGCTCTCTACAACTACCTGAAAGGGGGTTGTGGTGAGGTGGGTGTTGGTCTCTTCTCCCAAGTACTAGCAATAGAACGAGAGGAAATGGCCTCAAGTTGCGCCAGGGGAGGTTTAGACTAGATATCAGGAAAAATTTCTTCACCGAGAGGGTGGTCAAGCATTGGAACAGGCTGCAGGCTTCCCAGGGAGGTGGTGGAGTCACCATCCCTGGAGGTATTTAAAAGATGTGGTGCTTAGGGACATGGTTTAGTGGTGGACTTGGCAGTGCTAGGTTAATGGTTGGACTCAGTGATCTTAAGGGTCTTTTCTAAGCTAAATGATTCTATGATAGCTTGACAAGTTGTTTTATGCTCCTCTAACTTACGTGAATGGTAATTGTTCCTTGCTGTCTCACGCCAAAGGCAGGAACAAAACCAAATCCTTTCGTGCTTGTTTTCTCTCCGTTACAGAAACAGGAGGTGTGTGGAAACCTGACATTACAGCATCACATGCTTGAACCAGTGCAAAGGATTCCTCGTTATGAGCTTCTTCTAAAGGACTACTTGAAGAAACTTCCAGAAGAGTCTCCAGACAGGAAAGATGCTGAAAGTACATGTAAACTCCTCTCTGTCTAATGAGCACAATAAAATCTTGGAGAGTTTTTTCTTCACATGTTCAGATACTTTCAACTAGGGCTATAGTAGAAATGGAGATTTGAACTAATCAAACTATTGCCAAACATAGCACAAAGGGATTTTGAATACTCTTAGTATAGAGAAGAAAAGGGTTGATATGTCAGCTCTAGGAATGAAAGGAGCTTTGGCAAATAAACAATGACAAAATATTCAGGTTTTTAATGGCAGAACATCTGGTATTTTTATTTAATCCATTGTATGGCCAAGGACAAATACAGGAGGACCTCCTTGCAATAGCCAGAGGAAGAAAATAAGAATGGTCTTAAATGTATATGCTTCCCTAGGAAAGCAGGTTAGACTCAGTTAACACAAAGGAACAGGAGAAACGGATTGCTGCTGGTTTCTAGGAGTTTGTGTTCTTGACCGAAACAGGGTTCCTGTTACTGTAAGCACACAAGCCCTGTTTTCCTAAAACACTTGTAAAAACATGCTTATGAAGACTTTTAGGAGAGAAAGATTAAACATTTAGATGCACATGGACCAGCTGAATGTGCCAAAGTGATTGTATATATAACTGCTTATGTGTTCCTTTTACTTTATGGAAGGAAAAAATACAGTCCTTGCTTTTGCAACAGCAATTTTGCTGGAAAAACACTAATCAAGGAGGTGAAAAAAACCCCAAGGTGCTATTAACAGAGATAATCCAGAGAATGCATAACTGTTGCTACCTGTATTGCAGAATCACTGGAGCTGATATCTACAGCAGCAAACCATTCGAATGCAGCCATCCGAAAGATGGTGAGTAGAAATTGCATAACGGAATTGTAATCTGAGTGGAACGCTTGGTTGAACCAATGGTCCCCCATTGCAATAGGGTCAGTAAAGTAGGCTGAGGAGAATTTTCAAATACAGTGAGTCAGGCTTTAAACATCAGTTGCATATCTGAGTTTTCTTTATCATAAGTGATCCTATTGTGGTTACCATGGGTTGTTTGGCCTAAAATTCGCTTTCCTTATTCTTAAGGCCCCAGTGGATTAAAAAAGGAGGTCTTCAAAAAGTCATTATTTTCTTTTCATTGAAATATATTGAAAGTATTCCAATTAGGTCCATTCATAAGGTGTCCCTGCAGATTTTCACACTTATTTTTTTAGTCCTACAGGTCTTCTCCAGACTCGAGGTTTGTTTTGGTTTGATTTTGTCTCATTTTAAATGCACACAGAGTGTGCATTTAGCATGTGTCAGTAGCTTTGGTAAGCTATACTTCTGAAGCTGGGTAGTCTGAGACCGTGGAGATTTTGAATGTTAGCACATGTTTTATATAGAGAACAGCTAGTGTTCTAGACCATTAAAGTAAATGGACTTTATAGTTACAGATGTTATCCCTTTTGTGCACGCAAGTGCCTCAGCAGCTTGTATATCTAATAGATCTGAAACGCTACGTATCAGGCTTAAGACTCACTGACCATTTGTGGGCACAAGTTTTACGTCCCCTTCTGTATCAGACCCTTACTTCCTTCTCTCAGCTGGTGAGGACACCATGAGACCACGTTTCCTGTGGCTGTTGCGGGGAAGTAACCAGCTGATGTCTGTGTATTTTCAGTATGTCTCAGTGAAAAGCAGTTTTGAAACCATCTATTTCTATTTGAGTCCACTGTGCCCTCTTGATAAGGATATATTTTGGTGGAAATTTTTCTGGTTTGAGGCCTTGAACAACTCCTCTGCAAGTAGTGACTTTTGCTAGGAACTGTATACAGTATCTCCACCGATAGCAGGAATATGAAGCCACCAGCCAGTTGCTTTCGGTGTTGGATGCTTTTTCTATTAGTATGCAAAAACCTGTTAGAAGCGGTTGCTACAATAATTTTGCAGCCCCTGTTTATTGCTGATAAGAACCTGAAGCCTCTAAGAGGGCTTCTTATTGCATTGAATTCTTCTGTAATTAATAGGTTATGCCTGATCAGAGACTCGAAGGAGAAGTACCCAAGTAAGAATTTCAGGTTTGACCTCGTGGCTTCCCAACTTGCGCATCCCAGCAGAAGGTGCCGCGGGCGTGCAGGGGCAGTCAGTAAGGGCTGATGGGGAGCAATGCAGCGCAAGAGCTGGTGTATTTGTGGTGAAATTTTTCAAGTCAAATGGGGGTAAACAAAGTGTGCCAAGACCTGAAATTCCAGCTTAATCTATAGACAGGTTGGGGTATCATGTAGAGTCGTGTTTGTGCATATTTTTGTGTGTAATTGCATAGATCTCTGTCCTCACTTTCTGACCATTTGCTGACAGTGCCATGTGGAGCACATCAGTCCAGCTTGTGGTCAAAAGCCAAACCTTTCCAAAAGCTATAACTCAGTAGCAAGTTACACACTTTTCCTACTTTGACTTATTGAAGCTGCTGCAGTGCTTAATATACCAGCTCCAAGTGGGTGAACTAGTTACCTTTATCCATTTGAATACTGTGTAGAGGGATTTTAATATTTGGATTACTTAACCTAAAGTAGAAACAGTGCTTTGCTGAAAAGGAAAACGTAATGCCTTCATAAAGAATCATAAAGATAATAAATTCAAACTATTATCATAAAGATAATAAATTCAAACTTGGAACCAATTTGGTAACATCTCTAATGTGGCCATTGATTTTACTGGACCTGATGCCACCGCTTCCAAAGATATGTATTGTTGAATAGGGATATCTAAAATTATCAAATAGACTGATCTCAAACTGTCGTTAAAATAGTACGATCCAAGTATGACTCGTGAGTGACTAATGCAGAGTGGGGAAGGAGTACTGAAGAGTATGGAATTAATTTTGTTAATTTTTGAAACTGCAAACCTATAGCAGAAGTGAAAGACTATTTTCTTTCCTACTTATTTACACTTACCACAAAAATGATACTGTGGGTAATAGATGAAGTGGAATAATTTATTTTATTTAAATTGCTGGGGGTTTTGTACTTGCAGGAAAAGATGCACAAGCTTTTGGAAGTCTATGAGCGACTTGGTGGTGAAGAAGATATTGTTAACCCAGCCAATGAGCTCATTAAAGAAGGACACATTCAGAAACTTTCAGCAAAGAATGGCACAGCACAGGATAGGTATTTATTCCTGGTGAGTTTTTTGTGTTGCTCTCTTATTTTCAGAGTTGTGCTGTGAAATGGTACAATTCCATCTTCCTAATCTCAAATACAAAAAGCTGTTGCCAGCTGAGCCCAACTCCTCCTTCCTCTGAGCAGCAGTTTTCTCTTGATGCTTTTTCCTTGAGGATTTCCTTCCTTCTTCCATGCTTGTGCCTTTGCTGATGGCTTGTCAGGCCCAATGGGGTATTTTTCATCTCCCTACTCAGAGGCTGTGTTTTGCGAAGTGCCCATGGAGATGCGTTTCCAGCTGTACCACCTTGTGGCATAAGATGGCCAGCCCTTGCTGATGCTGAGACTAACTCTCATTTGCTTTCAAGGCAGTTGAACGGGTCCCAGAGAGAGGGGAAAAAGGGGGAAATGACTGGCTGATACATTTCTGTCTGTCCACTTCTTTCAAGTAACTATATGTGAGCCTAGCTTGCTCCTTAAATCTCTTCTTGAGAACTGGGTTTTAAAGTAAAACACACCGGAATTCTAAACTGTCAAAATGCAGGCTCTGCCCAGCTTGTCATCCCTCGACTTAAAATGTTCCCTTGTTACAGTTTAACAGCATGGTGCTATACTGTGTGCCAAAACTGAGACTAATAGGCCAGAAGTTCAGTGTTCGAGAGAAGATGGACATTGCAGGACTGCAGGTTTGCATATCTTCTTTTCACCCGTTTTAATGCTTCCCCACTCAATAGTGTCAGATCCCCTCTGAATCCAAAAAGACAACAATATATATGTAGAAATATTAGACACATAAGGTATAATAAAAATCCAGCTCTGGATTTATTTTTTTTTTTAATTAATTATCGTGAGGTAATCATCCAAAGGTGGGTAAGAAGGTGGTGACTCTGTACATGCTTGTTAACGATCATAACATTTCTACCCATGTCATAAGCAGAGTCACCATCTCTGGAAGTATTCAAAAAACGTGTGGATGTGGCGCTTCAGGACATGCTTTAGGGGGCGTGGTGGCGTTGGGTTAACGGTTGGACTTGATGATCTTGAAGGTCCGTTCCAACCCTGAGTGATTCTGTGATTCTGTGATTCTGCTTTGATCGAAAGCCTTCCCTTGACACCTAGCTGACACAGGAGCCAACTTTTCCTCCTACTGCTGCAGAGGGCTGGTTGGTGATACAGAGTCAGAAGTTTTGTAGTAAGATGAATAATTATGGAAACAATCCGTTGTGTTTTCTACCTCTGTATACTGTATTCTGAGTGATTCTTTCAACTAAGTATTTCAAAGAATGAATATATTTGTAAGTCATTAAAAATGATTGAAAGGCAGTGGTGACTAGTAAGAAGCTGACATGTTCTTTTTACAGGTCCAAGAAATAGCCAAGCAAAACGTGGCTCATACATTTTCAATAACAGGAAAAAAGAGATCGCTGGAACTACAAGCCAGGTATGCTGCTGCTTCTGTCTTTCGAGGTTGTGAAATTTATGATCTTGGGGATATGGCTGTGCTGGGATGATGGAGCTTTAAACTGGGAGATGAGGATCGGAGATGTGTAACTTATATATGCAAGAGAATGTGTTGGTCCTAAGGCAGAGTGTGTTGATTTGCTTTATGGAATGCTTATGGTGTTTATAGTAGTGCTTGCAGGTTCCACTTATTTTTGGCATTTGTTTGATAATAATTGAGGTCAGTAATTATTAATAATGTTTATAAAATAGCGGATAGAAAAGCTAAGTAAAATCCTGATGGATATAAAGCTATGAAGATGTGAACTGACTTTACTGAAAATATTGGAACTGGAGTTATGATGTTTTCTGTATTTTTCTTTTGTTTTAACAGGACAGAAGAAGAGAAGAGGGAATGGATTCAGGTTAATACAAAACTGTTCTGATATGGGTAGAAATCCATGCAGTCAGCCACTTCTGCTTTAAAAATGATCTTTTGGGTGTTTTGAATGAATGTGGCTGTGCAAGGAAGCTGGGTAGTCCGGGATAGCAAAGCTGCTTATGGAGAAATGTGGAGCCCCGTTCAGGGTCCCACTGCTGACCCACAGTCTCCAGGCAGTGCATGGGGGCTTCGAGTAGGTTCCCATTTCCTGCAGGGCTCAATCCCAGCAAGAGAAGAGGCTGAGGAGGCAGAGATTAGCCTAGTCTGACCTAGAGACACTGTCCGATAGCAGTCTTAGTTTTTAGCTTAAATGGTAGTGAGTTAACACCACCCCTTGTAGCTATTAACGTTTTTAAGTTTCCATTTCATTTATGCCAAGTGTAAGGGTTTTTCACTGAAATGATAATCCTAACCATTTTCCTATGAGAGAGTTTTTCCAAGACTCCTTTTGTGATGCTTCTCATCTTTGCGGGAATTTTTGTCTCAGGTCATTCAAGCAACAATTGAAAAGCACAAACAGAACAGTGAGACATTTAGAGCTTTCAATAGCTCTTTTTCTCAAGAGGAGGAGCATCTTCCTGATTCCTCAGTAAGTATGAGTGCTGAATTCTCCTTCTTTGCTAGAACAGTTTTACCAACAGTTAAACTAGACTTACACAGCTAACTGTAAAATAGTGTAGTGTTGTTCTTGATTTTTATATTACATTACGGTACAGTCAGCTCCATTTCTCTGGCTCTCAAATGCGTATCAGTCAGTTACTTGGCCATGCAGGTGTGGAATAAATTACCCAGAGTAATTCAGTGCAAGAGACCTATCAGTCATGTTTTCCAGACTAGTGGCTCATTTAGCATAACAGGTATAATTCTTCAATGTTATGAGTGGTTCGCTGTCTGGAATGATGTCTGTGTGCCTGGGAGATTTTGTTCATTACCTTTCCCCCATCTCCTGAGAGATGTGTTTTGGGATTATTTCTTTTTTCTTATTTTATTATTATTATTTAAAATCTTTAAAGAGTTGAAAGGAAATTGATGCATTTTAAAAGGATCTTAAAAATACTGTCTTATAAATGACAAATATATTTCAGAAAGAATACTCTTCAACTAAATCTGCGAAATAGTCCTGAAAGTTTATTCTGTTTCTGTGCAACTGTGATGTATTACTCCATGCTGTGTTTGCTAGGAATTTTATTTTGGTAGTATTCGTGGGAGGATGATAACAATCTCGCTTCATTCAACTTGAAAATGAGGGTGATAACCTTAGCCACAGTCATTTCCTACAAGCTAACGAGGAGAGGACATGGGAGAGGGAAGTTTTTAAGAATTTTGTGCAGAGCTGCCTGTGTGTTGGTTATGTCAGTGGTCAAACACAGTAGATACCAGAGCACAGGGTGAGAAGGCCCCTGAACTTTTTTTTTCCCCTGGTACGTAACCGTTTTTGAAACCTCCCCTTTCCCAGATCTGGTTCGGTGACTCAGTAATGCTGGATTTTTACCGGATTGATTTCCCAGGGGGCTCAGGAGGGATGTGAGATACTCCTTTTATCCTGTGGTGGGCTGACGCTGGCTGGAGGCCGGGTGCCCACCAAAGCCTCTCTATCACTGCCCTCCTCAGCTGGGCAGGGGAGAGAAGGTACAACAAAAGGCTTGTGGGTTGAGATAAGGACACGGCGATCACTCACCGGTTACCATCACGGGCAACACAGACTCGTCATGGGGAGAAGCTGATCTCATTTATTACCGATCAAATCAGAGTAGGAT